GAAAACACAACTTTACAAAGAAAAAAGAAACCAAACCGACAGAGAATGGGAAGTTAAAAAAGAGATGTATTACTGGGTGAACGACCCTTGTTTCTAATGACAGTCACAGACAATACAAGAATTTTATTATTCTCCTTACCCAAGTTACAGCAATATTTTAAAGAGCAAGTAATAATAGAATAGCAGCAAATAACAGCTACTTCAGAAGTTGAGTATCAGTGTGCAGGTAGACGAAACGTGGGGACGGCAGCTCGGGAGTTGCAGGAGCGGACGATGGGGTGAAACGGCAGCTTGTTGACTCGGAAGACTCGAAGACGAAGACTAAGACTTTCGAAATCCGGCGGCCCCTTATATAGGCCGCTTTCGCGCCCATATCGATGTGCGACTGTTTTGGACGCCCGTCGATCCTCGGGCTCGATCACAATTTGACATGCCCGGCGGGAACAAAGAAACATGGCTCCACTCCATGTTATGGCGAGGAATCACAAAAAAACTACTCAAAGCTCCTGCAACTTCTGGGCTGCTGCCCTCATTTTATCTCGCAAACGACAAGCGGCCCTTTTCCTATGTTTCCGGTTCCCCGAACCAGAGGCTACCTCCTTCGAAGGAGCCGGCTCTCCGGGCCCCTTCTTCCTCTGCGCTCTAAACGGGGTGAGCTTCAAATCCTCCAACTCTAACATAGGCTGCAGTTGGCTCCGCAGGAACTTATGCAAAGTACGAGTAGCCTCTTCACTCATCCATTCCTCTGCGTTTTTCAGCACTCCCACCGCGGCCCAAGCCGCGTGGGTATCAACTACCCCCACAGTCTGCTGCAAAACGTCCGATATGAGTGGCGCGTGCTCTGGCCGACCCGAGATGTAGCTGAGCAGGTGGCTTCTCATCTTTAGCGTGACGTGCTCCCAACTGACAGTGTTCGTCGTTCGCGGTCCGTTCACGATATATACACGTGTGCCACAGGTCGCCCACAAATCTATGGCTGAGATGACAGCAAGCCACGCGGTGATCTTTCGAGGCTCCTCAGGCGGCATAACCAGCACAACCGATCCCAAATCATCGGTGAAGAGGATGATCCAACTTCGTCTTGATTGACGAGAAGTCCAGGTAGTAGAATACACGCGTGCGGGAACCACCCGTCATCCACGCCATTCGCCGGAGAACCACGGGTACGACAAGAAGGATACGATCGTGAACTCTAGCCATCATTGAACTCAAGTCGAACTCCTTCGGATCCACCTTACGAGCAGTCAACCAGCCCAACTCGAAAAACCTTTTCGGCAGCTGGCCATCCTCGCGACAAGGATCCATGCCTCATTATCGTTGCCGGCTCGATCGCTCTTGCCATGAGGCTCACGTGGGCACATTTACTTCTGAACACGGCGTACGCGAAGCCAAGCGATCGAGGGTCAACTGCCTTATCGTCCAAGTCCATGATGCGCTGAGCTTTCAGCGCAGCCGACCCAGGCTGCATCCAGATCGAAAAACTCTTGCAGCCTCCAAAACGCATTCTACCAGCAGAGCCTTCGCGGGATGGGCAACGCTGAAATTCAGATCACCAGCGTCATCGTCTTCGACACGCAACAATCTGACAACGCGAAACTCGGCCCTCCTTTGATTGACGGAAAGTCCTGGCCACGGCATCTGAATTGAACGTGCAGGGCGTGGCTGTCGTCCGGGAACGTCAAACTCCAGCTCCGGCCTGAAATACTCAATTGAGGTTTGAACACGGAAATTTTCAAGACTCTCTTCACTCTCTTTCGCCTAGTCTTGGTGTTCACTCTTTCGTTCGGGATTTCCTCTGGGCACTTGAGGAGCAAGTCATACTGCACTTTTATGGCATCCTCATTGCTACCTATCTTAGTAATAAGCGCCGATGTTTCGTCAGTTTGCAACACGCGATATGGGCCATCCCAGTCCACAGTCAGTTTGGGATGTTTCCCTCGCACCTTCTCGCGCGGCAATCTCATGAATACTCTTCCTCCCACCGATGGAAGGGAGAGGACGTCCACGTCCTTACGTCGGTCATACACCTCCTTCATTTTAGCCCTGTATTTTTCGCTATTGGCTCGTACCTCATCCCTTATCAACTGTAGCCCTCTAAGTAACTCTGTCCGGTAGTCGTCGACAAAAACCTTATACTTAGAGACATCGGCACTAGGGATTGTACAGGAAGGCATGACCGGGTCGAACCCGTGTAGGATGAAAAAGGGGCTTTCACCCGTAGCCTCATGGGGTGTAATATTATACGCATACACGACATGGGGTAGCATCACATCCCATTTATCGGGGAACTCCACCTTTTTCAACATCCTCTGTATGGTTCCAATCGCGCGTTCACTAACCCCATTCTCTCTGGAGTTATAGCCTTTCGTCACCGAATGCTTAATTCCTGCAACCTCAGCTAGTTCATTCAACAAGGAATTAGGAATTCGGTGCCCTGATCAGTGTGGATGGCCAACGCCCTCCTTCGCAGATCCAGCGATGGAACAAAGTGGTTGCAACTGTAGCAGCACTTTTATCAGGCATTGCGTACGCACCTACCCATTTCGAAAAATGATCGACCACTACAAGGACATATTTCATACCTGACAGACTGGTGCCCATCTCCAGTGTGTCAGCTGCGACTATTTCGAATGGATCTGCCTCTTACAAAGGGCTTAAGCGGAGGAATCATGAGTGAATGAGCCACTACGGTATTCACAAACATGGCTTTCCTCCGTTCCCTTGGAACAGCCATTACAGCGATCCCATCTTCCAACAGGAACTTCAACTGACCATTTTCCAGGACAAAATCAGCCGCTTTGAGTCTTTTTCGCGACGACTGTAATTTCACCTCTTTGTCAAGGTTTCCTTCCTCCAATGCGACGATGATCGGCCCATACTCGATATCATCGCGTAACTCATCCAGCCATGCCGAGGCTTCTTTTGCTTCAATGCTGCACACTACTTTTTCTTCCGCGAAAAGGTCTTCCGATTCCGGCGTATTAATAGGTACACCTCGCGATAGTGCATCAGCAACTGGGTTTGTTTTCCCTTTCACATGCTCAATCGTCAGCCGGTACTGCTGGACTTCCAGAGCCCATCTAAGTATGCGCGGAGAAACATTAGTTCTCCGAAATATCGCTGTCAGCGGCGCATGATCCGTTCTCGCGATCACTTGCATGCCGTAAATGAAGAAGTGAAACTTCTTCAAAGCGAATACCAAGGCGAGCGCCTCAAGGTCAGTAACATGATAGTTCCGCTCTGCTTTTGTCAGACGCTTTGATGCAAAGTATATTGGATGGAGAAACTCATCCAGTCCTTGCTGGCAAAGCACAGCTCCTACGCCCATTTGCGACGCATCCGTATAGATTATGTAAGGGTTCTTCCCTGACTGAGCCCCTTCGACGTCAGGTTGCGCCAACACCGGAGTGGTTGACAGCACTTCTTTGAGCGTCACGAAAGCTTCATCCTGAGCAGCGTCCCATTTCCACGGTACCTTCGTCCTTGTTAATTCGAACAAGGGACTTGCTATTTTAGAGAAGTTGAGCACGAATTTACGGTAATAGCTGCACATACCGAGAAATGTACGGAGTTCCGCTATACTGGTGGGCTTCGGGAACTCCTTTATCTTCACGACCTTGTCAGGATCTACGTGCACTCCTTTCCCGTCGATCCTGTGACCAAGAAATGCGACGTTTTCTTGAAGAAGTACGCACTTTTGAGGCTTGAGCCGCAAGTTGGCCTCTAACAACGCGTCCATCACCATTTGTAGCACTTCATAGTGTCTACTTTCCGACGCAGTAGCAATAAGGATGTCGTCGATATAAACGAAAACTTCCTTATTCTTCAGCTCACGTAGCACCGTGTCCATCAGCCGTTGAAAAACAGCAGGCGACGTGGTTAAACCGAATGGAAGGACTGTAAATTGAAAGAGACCTTCTGAGGTTGTGAAAGCACTCTTTTCCTTTGCTGCGGCGGTTAGAGGAATCTGCCAATATCCCGATGCCATATCAAGCGTCGAAATTCGAATCTTTTCAAATTTCGAATTTATTCCTCCAGATAGATGGCTGAACAGCCAGTAGTCAGAAGGAGCGAGGTCAGGGCTGTAGGGAGGGTGGGCGACCATCAGCCATCCGTACTTCTCCAGCTCGGCCTGGGTCGCCTTTGCAGTGTGAGGTCGGGCGTTGTCATGGTGGAAGTAGATTTCCGCATTCCTTCCACGAGTACGGTCGACGTGATCTTTCAATTTCCGCAGCTGGGTCACGTATGTGGAAGCGTCAATCGTCTGTCCCTTCTCCAGCAGCTCCCAGAACTCCATGCCTCTTCTGGACCACCAACAGAACAGGGGAACCATTTTGGTGTGAAGGTCGGCCTTTGAGGTGGCTTCTGGCTGTTCTCCTTTGTCGACCCACTCCTGCTCCCTCACAGGGTTATCGTAGAGGACCCACTTCTCATCTCCAGTGATCATCGAGTTGAGAACGCGAAGCTTCTTTTGTGAATCGTTAAGCAAAACCAGGCAGTGGCGCAGGTACATTCTGTCACAGTGGTAATTGTGCGACATTGTGTACTGCAAATGCAAGCTCGGTGAGTGATAGCTAGTGTAATGAAAGAGTATAATGTACACGTCACGCACACGTGATGACGTAATACCAACATCCATGCGAACGAAATAGGAGAGGATCAAACACGTGTATAAGAACTTATGCGACAACCTAATAGATGGTCTGCGCGGATGACTGACAGCGTCCTTTCGTCCAGCTCCGGATAAGCTCTACGCGAAAGCCTTTCTAACTCGACACAGAAATCCCCTACTGACTGTGTTTCTGGTTTCTGCAGGCGTTTTAATTCACCTAGTGCGATAACCTTTTTATTTCGTGTCTCTTCCTTACACATTTCTTTCATGGCATTAACCAATGTGTAAAAGTCACGTTTTTAGTTTTAGGCAGCGCTTCATATTGCGCTCTCGCCTTATCCGTTAACTTTGATTAAACAAAGCGCAGCGTTCTTTATCTTCCCAATATTTATTTCAGCTCGAACGCTTCTACAAAGTTTAACGAGTATTTTTCTTTTCCAGAGTATGGTGAAACGTCAGGTGAGGCTACATATCTTAGATACTCTCCCATCTTATCTTGCGTCCTTACACTTGACTTCCTGCGGTGTTTACGTATTTTTTCACTCATACTCTCACTATTTGAAGTATTCAAATAGTCATGACTCATACCTGGATCCTTGCAGTTCCTCCTCGACGAACTGCTGAACCTCTCGCGACGACAGCCCTTCTTTTTCTCCCGCATGTGCCAGCCACTCTGAAAGTGTTCATCAGACTCACTGACATCACTGGCATCATTGACGCTACTAATTCCGGGCATTACCCTACCTGGTAATGATTCATGCTGCCCTACGCGTCCTTCGCGGTCTTGAGAGCCTTCGAGCTCGGCCAGTCGTCGTTTCTGCTTCTCGAGCTCTTCCTTAAGCGCTCGAATCTCTTCGTCCTTTTGGTTGCAAACCTCCTGCAAAGATGATACTGAATTCATTAGAACGGTTTCATTCTTTATCAACCCTTTCACACGACGCTTAACACCTGTTTTATCACAGTTAAGCTTCCTAGCTAACTTATTCAGGGTACATTCGCCTATAACTAGCTGTTCTAGTTTATTGGCCACATCATCTTCGCTGTTCAAGTCGAAATGCTCTTTGACTTTGTCTAAGGTAGCCAGAGCGCAAGTGCGTTTCTCAATGGTTTCCTTCAGACGCTGCAACCTTTTCAAAATGCGCGCCGTGTTCTGTTCTAGCACAGCCTGAATTTGGTCGCGCTTACTATCACCTAGGCGAAAATGTTTCGCAATTTCCGCTCCGACCATCACCCGCAAGCGGTTGACTCTCTCTATCGATTTGAGGCATACCTGCATCTCAATGTCTGAATCCGAATCAGAACTATGCGAGCTGGCCACGTTCTCCATTTCACCGGGCATCTGCTCGTGAGACTCTGTAACAAGATGGATATCGTCTGTCTCAAACGCAGTATCACAATCTTGATGCGCTTCACGATCCATCAATCACGAATACGGACACACGTCGGCTGGTTGGCGAGTAGCCAAGACACCACGGTATCAACGACAGCAATCGCTATCGGTACCGCTGCTGAAACCTGACACCCTTTGCAGAGCCGTCAGATATTTCTACCGACACCCAACTAGGAGCAGTCAGTAGAAAAAGGCAAGAGAAAATAAGAAAACTTGGAAAGTCAAGCGACTGTCAAACTGCTTTGGCCCCGAAGTTAAAAAGAGATGTATTAGTGGGTGAATGACCCTTGTTTATAATGACAGTCACAGACAATATAAGAATTTTATTATTCTCCTTACCCAAATTACTGAGATGTTCGTTGCATTCCACGTAACATTTTTGATCTATAAGAGCCTGTTGGAAATCGAGGGCAAAATGAGTAGTTTTGTTCGTAGGATCACACTCGATTGAAAACACGTGGTGCTTGCACTGAACTATCACCCAGGTGTGGACCTCTGTACGGCAAAAAGCAACCGCTGTGGCTCCTTCTTGACAATCATAACAGCCAGTTAGTGGCGCCAACCCTACGCTACAGTTCTGCTGGATGATGTATTCGGCGCTATCGCGCATATAGGTGGACTCTATGGCGACGACCACTTCTTCTCTGGTTGATAGCGCTGCCACGGAATTGCCCTTCTTGAGCAACTTTATGAATGGGGTGGAAATTGGGAACACGTTAGATATATGGGCTCGGACGTTCTTTATCGAGTCGTGTGGACATCTGCACCTCGCTGGATATGCTTCCACATCACAGTCACAGATCATGTTGTTCTTGCAGCTGCTGAAGTTTCCATAGGCTTGTGTGGCAGACGAGCACTCAACTGGCAAGTGATAGGAATATGTTTTGAAACAGATATAACACTTATTGAGGTCCCATCAATTACGTGTTTCCTCCTGCAATTACGTGCTCGTCCGCCACACAAGCCTATGGAAACTTGCAGCTGCCAGAACAATACGATCTGTATTTGTGATGTATGGTCGCAGAGCAATAGTTCGCGAGATTTTCTTGTTGCGAAGGGAAATCTGGATGTTAAGCCGTATAGTGGGCTTCCATTCCATGCACTCCGCGATTTCATACACAGTTTTGGTTCTAGGGATGCTGGCCACGCGATAAAAGGAGCATGAAGGTAAGGGCAACAAGCATCCACATAGCAGTCCTCCACAAGAAAGTTCGCAACCGGAGTATCCCGGATATTGAGAAGCATTGCTAAGTTCAGCAATTACACTATTTGATCTCACCTCAGAACATGCGCTATTGACACTTGATCCCATTTGGGCACACCTAGTGGCGCTAAAAACTGTATAGTCCGTATATCTTGTGAGGAACAAGGTTCGCTTTAAACATTGCAATTCCATGGGGAGCTGTTTCATCAAGATGGTCCCTACTGTTCTGTTTGAATGCATGAGATTAATGCAAACCATACTGTTGACTTCATTGAACAGGATTTCTCGATTGAATTCGAATAGGCATTTACTATTAGAACTACACACTATTGCCACATTCTGTCTGGTGTATCCATACTGACATGCTCTCGCCTGTTCGTGCACTGAAGCAATGCAAAACAACATGACCGCGGCAGCCATTATGCTTGCGCGCCCTGGTGGCTTGTGGACTGAATGTTGTGAGTTGTATGTTTACATCATCTCCGCGCTTCAGAATCGGCTATGTTTGACTCATTGCTTGCGTCGGAGAACCGAACCCTCGTTGTTTGGCGCCTCGAACCACTGCGCTATTCTGCCTATAACGTTGTTTGCCTCTAACTTAATCACGACAATCCTGGTTATGACCGCAACAACAGAGATAAGCACGTAACCGAGAGTTGCAATTGATATGATGGCTCCTATCGGCCAACAGTGAGGATTTCCAAGCAAGGTCTTTGATAGCAGCGTTCTAGAAGAGTCGCATATGTCGGGCAATACGCACGTTATGCGGTTATATTTTACTTCGTGGTGCGATCCAAGGGTATATCTTAAGGATACGTTTATGCTGTCGTTTCTCGATGTGAACGGCAACTGGAAGACCATCTCACCAGATTGATTTGCAAAGGTTTTGCATGCTGATCGAATACATAATTCAAATCTGTTCGATGGAGGCTTAACGTAAAGGTGATGCTGCGTGCAAGTGAGTGGCATCATGGTTTTGGCTTGGGTTCCATTAAGCAGTGCTATCAGTATCGCAATGAGCACCAGGTTAGTGGACATGCCGTATGAATGACCATTATGAGCACTTCTTTATTTCTATGTGTCGCAGTTTATTTAACAATTTCATTGCCCTTGATTTGCCGCATGCTGAGCTCTTTGCTGGTTACCATCGACTCGACCTCGCGACCTCGTAGGCGGCTGTGTATACGTGAGCTGTGCATTTACCACTTTTCTTTTAGAGTTTTTAACCCTTTTTTTACTATTCATAGATTTTTTTTCCCATTTTACGCCTAAATTGCTTTATCCTTACCCTAAGTCTGGCACTTTTTCCCAATTTAGTCTCCATTTTTTCCTTGTTTGGTGTTTTGCTTGGTGTGTCCTCGTTACCTAAGTAAATCGACTCGATATCAGGTAGATCAAAGATCAAAACCATGCCACCCAAAGTACAACGTGCCAAGAAGGTTCTCAAAACCCTTTCTCAACCCAGCTCCACCTCCACTAGCATTGTCAATTCGCAGTGTATTCTATCTGAGTCAGCGAATTTCGAAAATATGTCGGCAATGGAACTCATAAAAAATATTATGGAGCTTAATAGAGACCCTGCCATTGAGAACATGCTCATCGCCCTTGCAGAGAAAATACCTAAGGAGTTTACGGATTTTCTCGAGAGCGACAAGCGTGACCGCAGCATAGTAATTGCAGGTCTTGAGGAATCACACAGCTCGCTCCGCCCTTCCCAACGTCAAGCGGATCTCGAGGAAAAGGTAAGCAAGGTGCTCGATGCTCTGAGCGTGGAATGCCGTCCTTCGGAAATCTACCGCATGGGCAAGCCAAATGCGGGTCGTCCACGGCTGGTCAAGGTTCTTCTGCCCTCGAGGTTCCACTGGCGTCGTGCTCTTGCGAACGCGCGCCTTCTCCGTAACGCTGGCCTGCCTAACGTATTTATTCGTAAAAGTATGACTCCGGAGGAACGAAAACGTGAATACGAGCTGCGAATGGAGGCACGCGAACGAAACAAGGGCAAAGCGATCCGGGAATGGGTAGTCCACCAGGGACAACTGAAACATACGTCGGAATTGCAGCAAAAACGCTCGGGAAACGCCTAAGTGCGCATGGTGGTTCTGTCCTTATTTGCTGTTTGCTTAATGCTCGTAGTTTGCCGAATAAGTTAGAACATTTACGTGCTTACATATCGCAGTATGAGCCAGATCTTCTGTTTATTACAGAGACATGGCTTTCGGACAACATCCTCAATTCTGAAATATTATTTAACCAGTCGGATCGCCCGGCTAACGCCGAGCTCTCCTCCTTCTTGGAAGCCCGGCTTCGCCGGGCTCATGCAACTGCTTTAGAGTCGTGACTAATCGCTGTCTTCTAATCAAATGAATGTAGAAACGCGCCATATGATCGCAGGGCACTTTCATAATGAAAAGTTCAAAATCTGGTCATGGATAATCGATTACTCTCCTCCCCATCTCATGACAGCCATGGATGCTTCGGTCTCCGCAGTCGCTGCGTGCTCCTGTTCAGGCGAGCGTCGGTCGCGCCATATGGTACCCCTTCACCTCACCTATCCCCAAACTAACCTCAGCTATTCCCCGCTCAGCCACCCTACAGGTCACGCTCAGCTGCTACGCGAATAGCCCGTGCAATGGTTCTGAGTGCACTAAATGGTTGTGTTATGTTGTGGAGGGTGTTATGACTATCAAAACGCTACCACAATTTGATAATGCAACATTAATCGGTTCAGTTCCGATTGCGGTCGATCCATTTTCTTCTCATCTTATCGCAACCGTAGACGCCTTACCGCCGCAGGCGCTATGTGCTCCTAATCGCGAAATCGCCGTTCTCATCTGGTATCCCCTCACCACATCATATCCCACTGACCCTATTTAACCGGCGCCCACTCCCGCACGTGGTATGCAGCCGCCATGCAACATAGGGACACTACGCCGCCACTGTTCTTACCACCGCCTTGCTCGTGCTCACGTCCAGCTCCCAAGCGAGCAGCTCCTGCAATAGCACAGAGTCTATCACAGTGGTTGGCTTAGATAGGGGAGCTACAATCCAAACAGCTTCCTAGTTCGTTGCTGTAACATGGATTAGCTTGCAGTTTTGCTAGGGGTTCTTTCCTTCTGTCTTGCCGCCTGCTCCTATCCAAGCGTACGCTACGCATCCCCTTACTGTACCCAGTTTGCCCGATTCAATCCATATGCCTCCTTCCCCTGCATGGGCTCAGATCCGACTGAGTACGCGCAAGGAAGTGAGGATGGGAGAAGGGGGTCACTCGATACTAACTCCCACCTTCCTCACCTGACCCCATTCCGTACTCGCCACTCCTCATCCATTGGTGTGCGCTTCTACTGAAACGCGCGCTACGCACCCCTCACTGTACCCCCCCCCCCCGCGACCCCTTCCCTCTGCCTCCCTCCAATACATGTGCTCAGCTCCGGCTGAGCACATGCAGGAGAAGGAGGCAGGGCGACCTGGCACCCCCACCCTGCCCCCGCACGAGCACACGTCCAGCTGCCACGGCAGCAGCTCGTGCAATGGCTCGGAGTGTACCGAGTGGTTGTCTTATATATGCTGTTATCACAATCAAAACATTGGATTGATACATCTGCACCGATGGGTTCCCGGTTTGGCTAGCGGTCGTTTTCTTCTTTCACTAACGTGTTTAATCCCGTAAAGCATTTTGCGGACGGACAGACATACAAACCGACATACATACATATACATACCGACAAACCGACACACAAAGTTTCTGCTTTATAGAATGTAAGGATAAGGATTTGCCTTACTTACTATTCCGCCAAGATCGAAAGGAGCGTCGAGGTGGCGGAGTATGTTGTCTGGTTAGGGGCAACCTTTGTGTTTACCGTGTTGAACAAGTCAACCCAATCAAAGCCGACGTTCTCTGCCTGGAAATTCTTCTGTCCTCCTAAGGCCACTCGTTTCCGGTTCACCGTAGTTTATCGTCCCCCGAACTCGACAAGGTGTGAAGACGATGGTCTGATTGATGTTCTCCGTGACATGGTTTCCACTCAGGTCGATTCTATAATTGTGGGCGATTTCAATTTACAGGTAGACTGGAAAAACCTAAGAGCAGGCAACACGTCCTCAGCTGCCTTTCTGGATTTCTTCCAAGAAAGTGGTCTCGAACAACACGTCCTCCAACCGACGCATGGCAGCAACACCCTCGACTTGGTACTGTCCACTTCGCCCAGTATACAAAACGTATCACTTCGTCCTCCTCTTGCCAATTCAGACCATGCCTCCGTTCGCTTCGAGTTACTGGAGGGTTTCAGTTACGCTGCACTCCTCCCTACTCCTGATTTTCTAAACGTGAACTATGACCGCCTAAATGAGTATCTTTCGAATGTTGATTGGCTTGGTCTATTCAACAACTACGTTTCCATGGACGACATTTATCGGAGATTCTGCAAGACCGTCTACAAGGCTTTGGCCTTATTCGTTCCACTGAAGTTTCCTCAGCTTCGCCCTTTCAAGTATCCATTGCACATCAGGAATTTGTTGGCTCAGAAAGAACGCTTATTTCGTATTCTGGATAATCCCATGAGTTGCCCACTATACAGGAAAGTTTGTAGGGATG